CTGAAGAAATTAATGTACAGAGACATAGAAAGAGTAGATAAAGCTCATATGCCCCATCTCCTCAATGGCAGCATTTGTAAGAGACATCTGACTGATCTGGCTCCCTAACCACATGTTTTAACAAGGGATGGTACCAACTTAGTTCCCAGGATGGGAAATTCCTGAAGAATTTCAAAGATAGGTCCTTTTCACCACTAAAACATAGCGCTACATCTTTTTTTTTCTGTCCAAGTGTGAAAACACACTCATCTCTCTGGATTAAACTCCACAGTCTTGGTGAATATCCTGCAATGAGTCCATTCTGTCTCTTCAGGGTTTGTAGGAATTTTAAAAACTTCTATAATGTCACACTGTGGAAGGGGTATCTAGATGAGCCCAGGAACTAGGTCTGAGAGATTGGAAATTATCCTTATTATTTTTGTTTTTCCCCATGATCTTAAGTCTTCCACATCAGTCTCATTTCTTCCCACATCAATATCTTGATATTGCGTGGGATGAATCTCAAGGAACAAAATCATGGCATTCTTCTCTGAGTAAAAGGACATTAAACCATACAACAAGGTGGCTTGAGATGAAATATTCTGGAATGTTCTGACAAGCCTACAGTACAGTTATATATAAGTCAAAACAAAGGATTTATATTAGGGAGCTCTTGACTTGGAAAGGATCAGTGGCAGTGAATGTTCTAACCTCCAGTGTTTTTGGTTTCTGTTGAAAGAATTCAGTAGTCCCTTAGGTAGCTCACTATTTTTTTTGTGGCACACATTTTTCTAGATATTGGGGTTCAGCAGTGAACAAGATAGATATTTTATCTACTATTAAAGTCTAGCAAGGAGCAAAAATCTCATATTTAATGACCTAAAGTATAAGTTGCCAGGAGAAGGGAAGGAGTGGGCCATGGTACTATCATGTGCCATGGTGGGTGAGAGCAGATGCCTTTGGGTTGGTGGGAGAAACCCGGTATGCCTGGAGTAGAGAGAGAGAGAGAGAGGGGTAGGCAGGAGCTAGTTATTCTGGTGAAATAGAGTATTGTGGGTCATGGTAACCATTTTTAAAATTATCTTAGTGAAAAGGAGAAGCTCTTTAATTAGCAGGTTTGAGTTATGAAAATATAATTCTAGATAAAGTCAATAGATTGTAAGGGAGCAAAAATAGATGTGAGGAGACCAAATCTGTTGCAATTGTTCAGGTGAAAAAAGTAGGTGACCTGAAAGGTGTCTGTGGGATGCAAGGAATGGGCATAAGGAGAGATGTTTAGAAACAGGAACTGATGAGATGTATTAATTGAATGAGGGGAGTGAAGGATAGATAGGTAGGAGTCAAGGATGACTCTCAGGTTTCTGATTTGAATAACCTGAAGATGGCATAGGTAGTCAGAGAATACTGGGGTGGCTCACACATGAAAGAGGGAAGACAATAAACTTAGAATCAGAAAGATGAGGTTTGAGGTGTCAGTGAAACATGCAAATAGAATGTTCATCGGGGAACTGAACTTCAAGGTCTGTAGCTCAGAGGAGTGGTGTGGGTTGAAGAAATACACTTGGGATTCACTGACATATTTGGGGAAATGTAGAAAGGCAATATTCTGAGAAGCAGTAATATTCAAAGAATGATGGAACAGAAACAGTTCCCTAAGGAAAGTGTGAAGTACTCCTAGGTAAGGAGGAAAAAAAAATCACAAAGGTAAAGTGTCACTTGACCAGGAGAGGGGAGAGTTTCACGAAGTAGGAAGTGATCATTAGTGTAAGATGTGATATGGTATTGAATTTAGAAACATGAATTTAGAGTCATCATTGGCTTTGACAAGGTAGTTTCAACAGAAGGGGTGTAGTAGGAGCCAGTCTACCACTGTTCCTAAATTCTCACTCATTTGCCCTTTGACAATAGGCCACACATCATAGAGATATATTTGTTTGTTATCTTTAGATTTTAAGGAGCATTATATTCTTTTTTCTTTTTTGAGACAGAGTCTCACTCTGTTGCTGGAGTAGAGTACCGTGGCATTAGCCTAGCTCACAGCAACCTCAAACTCCTGGGCTCGAGCAATCCTATTGCCTCAGCCTCCCGAGTAGCTGGGACTACAGACATGTGCCACCATGCCCG